CAGCCCCCCAAGCACCTTCCCCCTCATGCATCTTCTCAAGCTCCCGGACCCCCGCCAGGATGCTCCCCCCCAAGTATCCTCATACTGAGAACCCTTCTGAGGTGTCTCATCGAGCACCCTAACCCCCACCAGTTCCAGAGGGGCTGCTGCAGTGGCTGTCCCCACAAAACGGGGGATTGCCCCCATCTGGCCTCATACTGGACCAGTTCCTGGCAGGACAGTGGCCATGGCTGCAGAGCACAGGGGAGGTGAGCGTGGGGTCCCTGTGCTGGCAGGGGGTCCATCACCTCCTGGCTCTCCCTGTCCTGCGGGACACTGCTCGGCATGCTCAGCACCAGTCTGCACAACTCCTGCAGGGTGGTGCCATGGCCTGGCTGCCCCTGTCCCCACACCCCACCTCCTCGTCCTGGTCAGGCTGTGGGCAGAGGGAGGTGAGCATCCCTGCGGGCCCCGAGGGAGCCGAATCCCAGAACTCATCCCGCATGGGGTGTCTCCCACCCTGTGTCCAGGGGCTGGGGGAAGGAGCCCAAAGGCCACAGGGATGGGCACTTGACTGAGACTCTACTCAGCTCTCCCGACAGCCCTGCTGTGCCGTCCCCTGCCCTGGCACCCTGCCAGGCCATGCCACCACTGCACATGGAAGTTCAAGGGAGTGGGGCCACCCAAGGAGGAAGAGGAAGAGGAGGAGAGGAGGAAGAGGCAGTGAAAGCTCCCACCACCTCAGCCCAACCTCAGACCCAGCAGAAGGGGTGAAGCCATCTGCAAGCTTCCCTCCCTGCCCATGGCCAGGCTGGCCCCTCCGCACACTGGGGACAGGGAAGTGCCTTGGTCCTGGTGGCAGCTGGTCAGAAGCATCTTGGGGTGCTCAGGATGGCCAGGGGTGCAGCCCCTGCCCCAGGGCAGGTAGGCAGCCATTCCCTGCACCTCGAGGGGACAAGAGGGAAGAGCAAGGGCAACCCCAGGAGCAGATCTCCTGGCCCTCGGGGTGCTTGAATCCTCAGGGGGCAGCAAGGCTGAAGGGTCAGGTCCCGAGAGTGCCCATCACCCTACGCACCTCCCCAGCCCGTCTCGCCCCAGGGCAGCCCTGTCTGTCCAGCCAGCCCAGCCAGTGCTTCCCAGTGCTGCCCTTGGGCCCATTCCCAGCCCTCACATGGGACCCTGCCATGCTGGACCTGCCGGGAGGTGGTAGTGGGCATGGACCCCCCCTCATTGCAGGTGTGTGGGTGCTGCTGGGGTGCTAGGAGGCACCACCCCGGGTTATTGTTCACGCTAGCTGGGCCCTTCCTGGCAACCC